AGAAGTGGCTGCATCAATGTCAGACTCCGGGATAATGGAGGCAATGACCTCTGCAGCACGCTTTACGTCAGTAATGAGGGAATTCTCAGACTTCAAGAAGACCCCTTTGCCTACCACGAATTATGTGGGAAGAGATTGGGAGACCTCTTTGGTTGACGTAGAGGTAGTACAACTAAGGAGAGTGCGAACAGTCTCCAAGGCCCTCTCAACTTCAGATGCAAAAAGGGAGGACCGGTCTTGCCCAGGAGCATCTTCAGTGGCAAGTCGGGTCCCTTGNGTATCGACAGCCTCAACATCGGGGAAGTTGTCAATCTCATCACCTACATCCCCTAAATCAGAATCTCTCTTGACAGACCTATCGCCTAGGAGGGAAACAGAGAAGGGAGTTGCTCTAGAGGAGGCAGACATGATTGGCAAAGAGAAAGGCAAATCGATNAAGGCAGAGGAAGTACCCATTTTCTGAACCTTAGCTCGAGTAACTGGGCTTCCACCAGAACTGCCATCAGTNAAGGCAGAGGAAGTACCCATTTTCTGAACCTTAGCTCGAGTAACTGGGCTTCCACCAAAACTGCCATCAGCCTTGCGCTTGGTACCACCCTTGCTTTTCTTCTTCAATAGCTCTACCTTAGCTTGGAGCATCTCAGGGGTAGGCTTCATCGTAGAAGACCTTGAGAGATTTGACTTAATTTGGTTAGTCAAAAGGAAAAAGAAATGGAGGAAAACAATGAAGCCAAAAAAGGGTAAAAACATTACCTTCTACGCCCTCAGGTCGGATAAAGGAAAGTGGGATTAGAGGAGGGCCGAATCCCTGCCTTTCTAATTCCCAGGGCNAAGGGAGGAAAACAATGAAATCAAATAAGGGAAAGAACATTACCTTCTACGCCCTCAGGTCGGATAAAGGAAAGTGGGATTAGAGGAGGGCCGAATCCCTGCCTTTCTAATTCCCAGGGCTTAAGGAGCTCAGAGTACCTCTCTGGATTACACTTAGCCAACTTCAGCTTCACCCTTTGGCCTCGGCGTTGAGTTCAGGTCGAATGCCTAAGAAAGGAGGAACACCAAAAATGTAGAGGTCAGGAAAACAACTTATAAATCTTCAAACCGCAGTTCAGTCAGGCAAGAACTCACCTAAGTTATCTGGGGCTGACTAGGCTCTGCGAATCCCAAGAGTGTCTGTTTTATCAGTAGGGTAGCATTCCCAGTTGACACCCCCAACAAAAAAGAAATTCTTTTTCTAGCCTTTATGAGAACTCGAGAGGTGTGTGATGATCTACCTAGACGAGGTCCACTTAGAAACATATAGAAAACCCTCAGTTGAGGTAAGCTTGACATTGAAAAGGTCTAGAAGCAGAGAAATGGTGGGAGTCCCAAGCCCATGCTTCTTCAAGAAAACTAAAAGACCCACTAAAACACCTCAGAAGTTAGGAGAAAGCTGAGCAGGGCAGACATTGAGGTGCTGCAGAAAATTTTTGATGAAGGGGTGCATAGGGAAACAAAGGTCATTCTTGAAAGCGACCACAAAGAAACAAACTCTTTTGTGCACTTGAGCAACGTATAGGGTGAATTTATCCGGGCCCCAAGGCTGAACACCAGGGGGAAAACCAAAACGAGCACTAAGAGCTTCCATGAGAATAGGATCCACCCCACTGGGACCCACAAGCTCAGCATGCCTGAAGGCAGCCCCCATACCCACTGTACTATCAGGAATCCCAACCTCACTCACTTTGCCCTTACCCTTATCAGCACTAGAAGGTACATGAGAGGAAGATGAGGGGAGTTCCTTGGAGTCCACCTCGGTATCGACAGCCTCAACATCGGGGAAGTTGTCAATCTCATCACCTACATCCCCTAAATCA